AAAACAATCTTGTAAAAGAAGAATGAAGCTGAAGGTCTCACATTTCCTGATTTCAAAACTTACTACAAACTTATAGTCATCAGAGCAATGTTGTATTGTCATAAAGACAGACATAGAGACTAATGGAATAAAATAGAGAGTACAGAAATAAACCCTTGTATACATGTTCAAATGATTTTTGACAAGGGTATCAATACTATTCAATGGGGAAAAGACAGCCTTTTAAACAAATAATGTTGGGAAAACTGGATATCTGCATGCAAAAGAATGATGTTGAATCCTTACCTTACACTATATAGAATAATGAATTCAAAATGGATTAAAGACCTGAACACAAGGGATAAAACTATAAAACTCTCAGCAGAAAACATAGAGGAAAGCTCCTTGACATTGAATTTGGCAATCATTTTTTGGATATGACGTCAGAAGCACAAGCAACACAAATAAAAGTAGATAAACTGGACTCCATGGATAATTGAAAACTTCTGTGCATCAAGAGACACAATCAAAAGAGTGAAAAAGCAACCTATAGAACAAGAGGGAATATTTGCAATATTATATATTATATAATCCTTATATATCTGATAAGGAATAAATATCCAGACTATATAAAGAACTCCTACAACTCAACAAGAAAACAAATAACGTGATCAAAAAACTGGCAAAGAACTTGAACAGACATTTCCCCGAAGAAGATATACAAATGACCAACAAGCACATGAAGTGCTCAAGGTCACTAATCATAAGGGAGATGCAAATCAAACCACAGTGAGACACCACCTCATACTCCTCAGGATGGCGACTGTCAAAATCACAAAAACAAAAATAACAAGCGTTGGCAAGGATGTGGAAAAACTGGTACCTAATGTAGTCAAATTCATAGAGAAAACAAGAAGAGTGACTGCCAAGGGCTGAGGAAGGGAAGAAATGGGAGTTGATGATGGTATCATTGGAAGGACTGATGCTGAAGCTCAAACTCAAATACTTTGGCCACCTCACGCGAAGAGTTGACTCATTGGAAAAGACCCTGATGCTGGGAGGGATCGGGGGCAGGAGGAGAAGGAGACAACAGAGGATGAGATGGCTGGATGGCGTCACTGACTCGACTCGATGGACATGAGTTTGAGTAAACTCCGGGAGTTGGTGATGGACAGGGAGGCCTAGCGTGCTGCGGTTCATGGGGTCGCAAAGAGTCAGACATGACTGAGTGACTGAACTGAACTGAAAGAGTTTTCATTTTTTAAAAGATTATTTTGACGTGGACTGGTTTTAAAGCCTTCACTGAATTTATTACAGTATTGCTTCTGTTCCATGGTTTGGTTTCTTGGCCTTGAGGCATGCGGCCAAGGGGATGGAGCCTGTACCCCCTGCATCGGAAGCTGAAGTCTTAACCACTCTATCACCACGGAAGCCTCCAGAGTTTTCCTTTAGCAAGATGAAAGGAGTTCTGGAGAAGGATGGTGGTGATGGCTGCACAGAAATGGCAATGTCCTTAACATGACTGAACAGTACACTTCAAAATAGTCAAGAGAGTAAGTTTTATGTGAGATGTTGCTGCTGCTGCTAAGTCGTGTCCAGCTCTGTGCGACCCCAGAGACGGCAGCCCACCAGGCTCCCCCGTGCCTGGGATTCTCCAGGCAAGAACACTGGAGGTTGCCATTTCCTTCCCCAGTGCAGGAAAGTGAAAAGTGAAAGTGAAGTCGCTCAGTCGTGTCCGGATCTGTGCGATCCCATAGACAGCAGACCACCAGGCTCCTCCGTCCATGGGATTTTCCAGGCAAGAGTACTGGAGTGGGTTGCCATTGCCTTCTCCAAATGTTATATGCATTTTACCACAAATTTTAAAAAATGAGTTTAAAAAGAGGAGTGGAACGTATGTGTAAAGAATGCTGCAAAGGTTGAAGGTCCACATAAGGCCACCCTGACCTGGGACGGAGGGCGGGTGAAAGGTCTCACTAAGCGCAGAGCTGGGTGAGTAGGAGTTTGCTGGGGCAGGAAAGAAGCAATGAGGAAGCACTGCGAAGGCCTTGTGAGGTGAGGGTGCTTCACTCATTTGGGAGGGTTTAGTAGTCATCCTTTAAGTACAAACACTTCTTTCCACCTGGGTATTTCTACCTTTTTCTTTTTAAACTGAGACATAGCCTACGAACAAAGATTGCGAAACCTTGAATGAACTGCTCAGTATATGTAGTACCAACACTCTGAATCAAATAACAGCCAAAAGGAGTATTGCCAGGCTTCCGTCCCCCTTCCTGGCCCTTCCCCTGGAGACAGTAGGGGGCGGGGGCAAGGAGACAATAGAGAGCTGGTCCAGAGGGAAGGAGACCAAAGCGATGTGACAGCCACATGAAACCGTGATCCTGAGCTGGATCTTGGACCAGAAAGGAAAAAGATGTTGCTGGGAGGGTCGGGGAAATCTGAATAGAGTCTCTGGATTGGCTGTTAGGGTTGCAGCAATGCGGACTTCCTGATTTGGATGCTGCATTGTACTGATGCAGGACAGAGTCATTGTCTTTTGAAATATTCTCTCACGCATTGAGGGGTTGATGGGCATGATGCTGAAGTGAAGCGAAAGTCGCTCCGACGTATCTGACCCTTTGTGACCCTGTGGACCGTACAGTCCACGGAATTCTCCAGGCCAGAATACTGGAGTGGGGGGCCTTTTTGCTCCTGCCGGGACTCTTCCCAGCCCAGGTCTCCCACATTGCAGGTGGATTCTTTACCAGCTAAGCCACAAGGGAAGCCCATGATGCGGAAACTTGCTTTCAAATATTCAGAAAAAGAATAATAATAATAAGTGTGTATGCAGATACCTATAGACAGAAAGGGGGAGAAAGGGAGAGAACACACAAATGTGTCAAAATATAAACAACTGGGATATCTGAGCTGGAGGTGATACAGGGGTTCTATGTATTAATCTTGAAAGTTTGTAATTATTTCTAAGTAAGATATTTTTCAAAGATATTCTTTATGATTGAAAGGAACCCACAGGTGAGGCTGTAGGTAACACAGGTAAGATTAGAAAGGAATAGCAACGCTGTCGATCGCTGAATTGGAAAAAGGAAAGTTTATGAGAAAAGAAATTCGTGGTGTTTCCTGTTGTTCTTTTTAGAGCGAAGCAGGCTATCCTGAAACGAAGTCACCGGAGCTCACAGACATTAATACACAAGCACTCGGATTCAGCATCTGCTTGGGTTCACGCGAACTGGTCCTCAGACCTGGGAATCTGGTCCCTTTTCTGGATCACCGCCCAGCACGATTCTGAGACATATCCCAGACCCACCTTCACACCGCCCTTTCCAGCCTCAGAAAAACGAAGGACGGAGGAAACCTAACAACAGGGTCTGGCTGACGACGACGGCAAATCTGGGCAAAGCTGTAAATCCAGAAGGTGCTGAAGTGAGACTGGAACATACACAGGGACTCGGTGTTTCCATTCATCTGCGAGATCACCGACGCCCCGCTCAAGTCCGGGCACGAGTCGCCAGGGTTCCTCACACACCCACCCCACGAAGTGCAGCGAGGTGCTCGCCTGGGTGTGTCTGCAGGGAGGCGTCTGCAGGGAACGCCTCGGGAAGACGCGGCGAGAGCAGGCCCGGAGCTGGTCATCCACGCCGGCGCCGCGCCTGGCGGACGCACGTGGGCTCGGGACAGCTGCGCTGACCGGCGCGTGGCTGGTACCCGCGTTCAGGTTGAGCGCCCTTGTGTAATTATATCACATAAACAAGTTTCTTTTTTAAAAGCAGACTGAAAGCGCTAAGTACAGCCTATTAGATTCCTTGGGGGAAAACTGCTATAGGATTAGTGAACTCAGCTCTGTGCCCTTCAAAAACTCAGAAGCTGGATTGAGGGGGAAGAATGTAGAGTGAGTATTAATACATTGGTATTAGAATAAAAGCATCCAGGCTTTCTTTTCTTAGTCATTAGAAAATTGTCAGATTACTTCTGTCTACAACCAGACTTCTTCAAGTTTCTTAAGCAAATATGTAATGATTGGTGAAAATAATCCATTTATTGACCAAAAACATCTTTACCAGGTGGGCAAAGGAAGAGACAAACATTGAAATTTTTCTTATTCATTTAAAAAAAAAAAGCTAGGCATGGCAACAAGCTCTGAGGGGAACAAGAGAACATTGCTAGAGTTACTTATTTTAAAAAGGGGAAAGGAAAGCAAGATTATTATCATTGTCATTATTATTACCAATACTATTATTTTGCTTATTTGAGCTTTGAACTCATCACCCTCTTCCTGTGGGGAAAAAAGAAATCCAGCTCTCAACCCCAATTTTCTTACTTATCCCGAAGTCTCAAAATTTTATCATTGTCCTTTCTTTGATGATAATCCAGTTCATTTTCAGGTTCCACTTTTCTGACTAGATACCTGATGACCGCCCATCTGTCCCCCAGATTATGTTTAATGCTCAAAATGAGCACAAGTGTCTGCCTTTCTCCGTCCATCCATTGGCTACTGCTGCCCACCCAGAGGTCTGGATTCACGCTGTATTTCCTCCTTCATATCCTGTGCATCTGCCTTTATCTGCTCCATCCTTTCATCTCCAGTCTCTTCTTCCATGTAGGTTTCTACCTCCATGTCTTTCTCAGTCCCCCCAGGGACCCACATCTCCCATTCATTCTCCCCTCCCCATGAAGTGGGTCTAGACCCTCCCTGCTGTCCCTCCAGACTTTTCCTTTTTGTGGGATGCTGTTTCCAGACCCCTCCTTGAAAAGTCCTCCTTGCTATTGTTGATGTGCCCGTCTCTGGACCATCTCCCCTCCAGTGAGCTCCATTCCTGCCCACACCCATCCTCAACACTGCTCTTAAGAGTTCCAACCCTCGTTCCTCTTCACGTCACTGCTTACCGGAGTGCTTTTTCCCTCCTCCCACTCCCCAGGATCAGTTCTTCCCTCGGTAGTTCCTCCCCCTCCCCATCGCCTCAAGCAGATGATCCTTACATCTTGAATATCTCTGAATGTCTTTCGGTAGACCCTTTCCTCTTGTCTCAGTCCCACTCGATGTGTTGGTTTGGGCTCCTATCATCTTGTTCCTGGATCTCTGCTACTGTCTCCAGCGCCTCTGGCCCCTTCACGCTGCCGAAGTTGTGTTCTTGTCTAAAACCAAAACTGATTATGCCCCTTTGACAGCTGGCAACTGGTCGTTGAAAGCCGCCCAGCCAGGCTTTCCCGTATCTCCGAGCAACTTTGAAGACACAGATAAACTCAGGGCATTTTCCTACAGTGCACTGATTTTAGTCAAAGATTCTGAGTGTGGGAGAAAAAATTTTAGTCCTAATGGACACCAAATTATTTAAGTAAGAGTTTATAGTAAAATCAACTCCTGTTCATCAAAGAGGCAACAGAAGTTTAGTTGAATTCTTTAACATGTAAGAGGAGATTTCACAGACGCACTATGCCTGGAGAAGAGCGTCTGGGGCCATGTTCCAGGATTCCTGGTTGTTAGCATCCTGTCTCTGCCGTTTTACAAGCATGTCCCCGGGAAGTTGAAGAGGCATTGTGCTCTATCGATAAAATTAAATCTTCATGCTTTCGGTCCACGTCCACCTCTCTAGCCTTATATTGTGCTACTGGCTGTTAATTTTAACATTCTGCAACTCTTGAACTTTCACTACCCCAATTTCCCTGCTGAGAATGACCTTCCAGCCTCTATGTTTGACTAAAATCTCCTTGTCCTTCAGAATCAAGGCAGCAGGGAATGTATGAAAGAAGTGAAGGCAGGCAGGTAAGTGATTGCTTTCTAACAGGTACAAGGTTTTGGCCAATGAGAGGGGAAAGGAAGGAGAAACCTGTTTCTCAAAAGCCTGTCACCATGACAATCGCCCTTCCTCGCTTCAGCACCTGAGGGCTCCTTGCTGGCCGTCACAGCGGGCAGTGTCTCCCGTAACTTTCTGATCTACTTTTCTTGATGTCGTAATGTCTTAACTCCTTCCTAAGACTCCAACACATGGATGGTTTGGTCAGACCAAATACAGCCTCTGGGGATACTTTGGTGTTGAGTGTCCAGCCACTTTTCATCCTCTGAATCCTTCCCAGCCTTGATGTTCAACTCAAATTCCATCTTCTCAGTGAAAACCTTCCTGGCTGTTTCAACCCTCATAAAAATTTTTTTTTTCCCTCTTAACACCTACTTCACTTCAGTTCTTATTAGAATTTAATTACACACATCTTGAATTTTATAACTTTTATTGGCTTTCTTTATTGCAGAAGTAATACATTTATATTAGAGAGAAAAAAAAACAGTTAAGCAAAAAGAAAAACCACTTATAAGCTCTCCTTTAACACTGGCTGTATATCCTTCCACACTTTTTTTCTATGGTCACTTAGGCAGTTTTTCCACTTTGGGGATCATACTATTTTGCAGTCTTTTAAAGAAAATGTACTAATAAAGCACTAAAATACCAATATACATAACTTATTCAACATCATCTTTTATGAATCTGTGATATTCACTTTTATATATAAGTCACCACTAATTCAGCCAATCCTCTGCTATAGGCATTTAGATTTTTCCTTTTTTTTGCCATCATACAAAAAAATCTTTTTGTATATTTTTAATTTTTCAATAGTATAAATTCTAATAAATATCATATCTATGTAAATAATTTTAAACCTTAATATAAGTAATGCATGAAATAATTAATAACATTAATTAAATATAAAATCACTACATTTGTCCACTGTTTCATTTGTTAGCTTTGACTTTCTACCTAAATTTAAGTGTCTTAAGGGTAGATCTAGCATTTTCTAATTTTTCATCTCTCATCAGGACAACAGATATTCAACTGTGCATGAAGAAGAATTAGTCTATTTCACTTAAATTTTTAGATGATAGTGGCATCAATTCTTCATTGTAATAGAAGATCTTGGGCTATGTTACCATAGATAATGATGTAAGAACATGTTTTTCTCCTAAGGACTATTTCCAGTCCTTCTTAGGAACTGAGGTAAACTTTGGGGGAGGTAAAGATGTGATAAATAAGATGAATGTTGTAGTTAAAAAGCAAAAAGACTGCCAGCTAAATTTGACAATAGCTAGCAGTAAAATTTCTGCATGGTCCTCGTTACTCTGAAAAATTACAACACTCTCTAGTTTGGAATACATTGATTATTTTTCAAAACTTGTATGAGAGTTTATAGGATGAGAAACAAGTCTTCTTGGCAACGTCCTGTCCATAAAGACTCTAGTAGTGACCCTCAAACTCCATCTGAGCTGCTCGGTAGTGCTGCTACATCGCGCTGCACTGGTCCACTTTTCCCCTCTCCTCCAACTCCTACACCCTTCCCTTTCCACCATCAGCTGAGACCTCACTTCTGAGTCTCCTAAGAAAACAGAATCACTCAGACAAGGACCCCCAGCATCTCCCACCACCCCAGACCAGCCTCCCTGAGCATCCCTGCCTGAGCCACCTTCTTGCTCTTGCTGGGGGATGAACTGACCCAACCTGACTCAAGAACTTCACTCTAGAAGTTGTCCACTCTCTCTTGACTTCAAGTTTCCCCTCTTGAGCGGATTCTTCTTACCAACAAGGTCTAATTTCTCCCATCACCCTCTACCCATGTCTCCGTTTTGCCTTTCACAGCAAAGCTCCTCTAGAGAGTGGTTCATATCCACTGCCTCTACCTTCTCGCCTCCCCGTCTCTCCGAGACTGACTTCAGCCTGGGTGCGTCCCTATCACTGCCTGCTGCCAAAGACGCCAGGGATCTTCAGGTCATTGAAAGTCAGTGGGGGGGGGGACTTCCTGGGTGGGGGCCAGTGGTTAAAACCCTCAGCTTCTGCTGCAGGGAGCGACAGTTCCACTCCTGGTTGGGGAACTAAGACCACATATACCCTGTGGCGCAGCTGAAATAAACAGAAAACAAGTAAATATTCAATTTAGAAAAGAGTCGATGGTACGTTCTCTTCAATAAGACACATCAAAGCACTGGCACCACTGACTGGCCCCTGCTTCTCGAAACATCCACTTTCACTTAGTTTCCAGGATGCTGCGCTGCCCTCTCCCCGACTCTCACCATCGCTGTTTCTCAGTCACCCTGGCCAGAGCTGCATTTTATTCCTCTTCTGGCCTCTGAAGGCTGCCCTGCTCCGGGGCTTATCCTCAGACCTCTTCTCTTCTCCAGCCACGTTCCCAGACTTTCTCTGTTGATGACACAGATTTCCAACTCTAGTCTAGACATCTCTTCTGAAGCCTCAATCTCCCATGTTTAATTGTTTACTCAGTGTTTTCACTTAGCAACAGGTGTCTGAAGTTTGGTGGTTGGTTGGTTGGTTGATGGTTTAGCCGCTAAGTCATGTCAGACTCTTGCAACCCCATGGACTGTAGCCTGCCAGGCTCCTCTGTCCATGGGATTTCGCAGCTAAGAATTCTGGAGTGGGCTGCCATTTCCTTTCCAGCAGATCTTCCGGATCCAGGGATCGAACCCAGGTCTGCTGCATTGCAGGCGGATTCTTTACCAGCTGAGCCACCAGGGGAGCCTGACCTTTACTTACTTTCTCCAAATGCAAACATTTGAACTCCTCCCTCCCCCATTACCTGTTCCTCCTGTAGCCTTCCCCATCTCACAAAACGGAATTTCTGCTAATCTGCTATTTAGGCCGAAGTCTAGAATTTCCTTTGACTCCTTATTTCTCTCACATCCCACAGCTGAATCATCAGTAAGTCCCGTCTGGTTTACTTTCAACATATATCTAGATTCCATTTGCAGCTATTATTGCAGTCCAAATCACCATCACCCCCCTCTTAGCCCATCTCGATAGCCTCCTAAATGCTCTCCATGTTCTCACTCTTGTTGTCTCCTCCACTTGCCAAACAAAATGATTGTTTAGGAGCCAAGGCCAGACAGGGTCCCTTCTCTGCAGAAACCCCCGTAAATGCCCGTAAATGTCACCTAAACTAAAAGCCTGGCTAGCTCTCTGGCATGGTCTCCTGCTTCTCCCCTTCCTGCTCTTCTGAATCAGGCACTGTGGCCCTGCTGGCCCTGTCCACCCTGCCTCAGACCTTTGCACCTGCTCATCTCCACGTGTGAAAAGCTCTCCCCCGAGATAGCTCTGTTCTCTGCTCATTTGTGTCTCAGACTGTACACACACACACACGTACACACACACACACACACACACACATGGTCAAGTAGTATGTTTTTTATATATAAATATATATTTGGTTCATTGTCTGTCTCTCTCCCCCACCCCAGTCTCATCACTAGAATGAATTCTGCATGTCAGCTCGTAGAACAGTGCCTGCCACAAAGAGGTAGCTGAACAATTATTGAACAAAACACCACTCAAAACTATTCAAATCTCACCAGTTCTTCCAGGTGTTACTTGTGCAGTACTGAGCTGAGATTCTATGGTTTATATATACTTCAAAACATCTGGTTTTGGAATAATAAATCTCAGTCATAATTCTGAGGACTTTGCCCGATGAGTAGAACTCAGAACTTTCTTAACAGACATTTCCTCCAGTGTTTCGCCTCCCTTTGCCTTTGATTGTCTCGCTCTAAACACCATACTCCATTCTCTCTCATCTGACTTTAACTTTACCCTGCCATGTCTTGTTCAAGGTACATTTCAAATTCTGCCTAAGCAAAATGATTATATCTTCTCCACATCCTCAGATCCTTTAAGAGGGTGCTAGAGAAGGAGAAAATCAAAGACTTGAGAACCGCTCGCTTCTTTCTTCTATCTTCCTTTGCTCTTTCTGTTTCCTGCATATTTTAATCTTTCCTATTTTATTTTATAAAATCAAGGAGATTTATGGGGACAAAGTTTACTGACTTCAATACTATGGGTACAAATTATTGTCTCTGGAAATCATATCCTGCCTTTAAGAAACGTACCACAGACGAAGCCCCTATTCTGGATCAGCACACACATCTAATTAGGTAAGAAGAAAAGTGTATCAGGAAAGGTTGAAAGTTGCAGGCATGGGAAATAAATTGACTTCTACTCAAGTTACTGCCGTGAATATACAGAGGAAAGGACCTGCATCTGTTTCACATTGTAAAAGCCTTAGTGCCCAGAGCAGCATTTCAAGCCCAGGGGATGGACGACAAATGCTCATGACAATGATGCTGAGGCCGTCCGCAGCCTGACCTCTAGAGAGAGCAGTTCTGGTAAAGAGTGTCCGGTTCTTGATTTACCATCTTAATTTTATGTGATTCTGAATATGCTTTACAGGCTTTAATTCAAATTACCCACTTCTGACTTTGAAAATGAAATAACTAACTGCCTATCAGACTTCCAGCTCCTCCAGGGCAGAGATTTTTGTCTTACCTGCTGCCACAGAAGCCCCTGATGCACAGTCCCGCACTTAACTTAGAGGTCAGTTCCTTCTAATTCCACCTCCCTGAAGGACTAAATGAAACAACCTATCAGAGTTCCACCTCTAATTGCTGTCCCATCCCATACTTGAGAATTTCAAACTAAGAAACTTCCCCTTCTGAGTCTTTGGCAAATAGGGAATGACCTAATAGCCTTTCTTGTATCCATATCCATCCTGGACCAGAAACAAAGTGGCAAGATTGGCTTCCATCAGCCACGCCCCCCCAACCCCACCCTCTCACCACAACCTACACCAACCCCCACCCTCTCACCACAATCTACTGATGCACCCAGCTCCATTTACAGCTGGGCGGACACAATTTGTTTTCAAAACAAATTAATCTACTCCACCCTCCTAGCGATCTTCTCAAGCCTGGCACTAGGGAGAAAACACTGCTTGATGCTACTAAAAAGCAAAGTTATCACATTGACACTCCCATGCTTACAAGAATGAGGAATGCAGAAACATCACGGTTCAGAAGACTATAAGAAATGGCCCCGCCAAGGCAGATCATCAGAATTCTGTCCTAACGGTGAGGCCAGGCAGGGACCTCTGAGAAGCCAGGATGCTTTGTCAAAAGGGGCACCAGATTCATCGAACCAGGGGACTGAAGACTGCTCCTACCCCTGGGACCGCTGTTCATCAGAAAACTGGAGATGCTAGCCGAGGAAAATACCCAGTGTGGGTCTCAACCTTTTCCAGGAGGCTCTGAAATGCTGCTAGAAAAATTACCTTGGCCCCTTCCGCTTCCTCGCAGCCATTGCTTAGCTTTCCACGCAGACGTTCAAAATGGGGCCTTTGAAAACTCTGCCCTCAAACGAAGGTGGTTCAGAGCAACACTTTGGCTGATATCACAAGACTCCCAGGGCAGCGCTTCGCTGCTTCCTCAGCATATGCCAGTGCCCATTTTACAGGGGCGATTTATGGTCCTTCTCTCAGTAGAGCGAGCCAAAGTTTTATAATCTTCATTAAAAATCAGCACCACATGTAATAATACAGAATACTGCCTGTACACAAGGGGGCCGAGTTATAGGTGTTCAGGGAAACGTGGCAATTTCTTGGCCCTGGCAGGCGTAAAGTTGCAGGCACCAGCACTGTACTAACACAACCTCCTTTTATTGCAAATGTTCCTTCAGTCGAAGGCCTAATTACTTTCTGTAAAACCCTAACCACCATCAAGCTCTCTTCCGACAGGGCAGCCGCGCGCTGGCCTTCAAGGGCAGCAGCAACACCCTGGCGGCCTCTGGAGCGGGCGGCGGGGGAGGGGGCTGGACCCCAGCAGGGCTGGGGAGGCAGCCGCGAGGCAGGCTGCTGGGTGAGCTTCGCCATCGCACGCGCCCCTATCCAAACCCTGGCGTGTGGACTCAGAGGCCACCTCGGTGGGACAGGCGCAGGCCCTCCTGGAAAGGATTTCAAAGTCAGTATCAACCTTAGGTCAGAAGCTACTCTTTCTCACCCCGTCTGCTCCCAACAGGGGGACCGGTCAGCTTTGAGGGGCCCGCGGCGCATCTTTTCCTGCCCCTTCTTGGGAAACCGCTAGGCAAGCCCGGAATCCCAGGTCTCGAGGTCCCACTCCCCTTCCAGGGTATGGTGCCCCGGCTCTGCCCGCTCCCCACGTGCCACACCAGCCATCACCTCTCCAACCACCCCTCTCGCCCCCAGTCCTGGCCTTTCAAGGCCCCTGGGCGAGTCGCCGGCCAGGCCGGACCGAGCCAGGCGGCCAGGAGGGCCAGGAGCAGGGGGCTCTCCAGGCCGCGCGGCCGCACAAAGCGGGGAGAGCGGCGGCGGCGGCGGCGGCGGCGTGAGGCGCGCCCCCTCCCGCGAGCAGGCCGAGCGCGCGCCCGCCCCGTGTCCCTCCGCCCCAGCCCCCGGAGCGCCATTCGCGGAGCGGCTTACGCTAGTCGCCGGGCGTACGGCGCCCCAGCGGCCGGGGAGGTGCGCTGCCCGGCTCCCGTAAAGTTATTGTGAATGGGGAGCGGGTGACGTCAGCGCCGAATGTCAACAATGTAGCGATTGAGAGTGTGGGCGTTCCGGGGAGAGCGCGAGCCGCGCGGCGCGGAGCAAACAGCGCCGAGCAGCCGCCGCCTCGCCAGCAGCAGCAGCAGCGGCAGCGGCAGCGGCAGCGGCAGCGGCAGCGGCCACCGTGCACGCCCGGCTGCGGTCGCAGCAGCGCTAAAGCCAGCGCCCGCCGCCGCCCTCGCCACCCCGCCTGCCCACTCCCGCGGCCGCCGGGCTCTCGCCTTCTCCCCGGCCTCCCCTCGACCCTTCCCCTCCCCCTTCCCGCCACTCTCGGGGGGCCGGGGACGCGCTGCCATGTGACGCGCCTCCTCCCCGTGAGCTTTCGGTGACCCCCACCCCTCCCCGATCCGCCGACCGCCGGGAGGGGGCTGCGGGCTGGGAGGACGCGGGCAAGAGGAGACGGAGAAGAACGCAAAGTTCTCTGGCGAGGTGAGTCCGTGGCCCGCGGGTCCCGGGCCCCCGCGGCGGGGCAAGTTGGCCGGGGAGGGGGCGCGGGGGGAGCGGGCTCGCCCGACTGGCGGGGAGGCGTGAGGAAGCGGCGCGGGAAGGGAGCCGCGGCTGCCGGGCGCGCATGCAGCCGCCAGCCGAGCGCCCTGCCCGCTTTGATGGCATTTTCTAGGAACGGGAAGGGGGTGGGAGCTGAGCAGGCGGACGCACGGCTCCGGCCGTGCGCTCTCTCGCCCGGCTGTTTACGGCGGGCGAGGCGGCATTGTATTTTGCTCGCGTCGACGGGTGTTTTGGAACAGCAGGGGGAGGAGGAGCAGAGGGTAATAAGTCAGGCGTGGGGAGGGCGGGCTGGAGGGAGGCGCGCGTCCGCGCGACCGGAGCAGCTGTCAGACCCACGGCCCTGCGCTCGGGCCCCCGGCCCGCGATCGCGGTGCCAGGCCGGGCGGCCTCCTCCCAGCTCGCCGCGTCGGCGCCCGGGGCTGCTCCGCGAAGCTTTGCGCTCGGCTGTCAGCCGCCGCCGGGTAGCTGAGACTACAGCGACTGGCGGGGTATCAGAGCCCAAGTTTAGGGTCCCGGGAAGAGGCAGCCCGGGGACTCTCGGCGCGGACCTCGGGCTGCGCGCTGGGTACGGTCGCTACTAGCCAAGGACCGGGTCATCGGCATGAGTCCCGCGGAGCTCGAGCCGAGGGCCTCGTGCCTTCAGACAGGAGGATCTTGCACCTTCCTCTCCCACGATTCTGCAT